ATACACCTCCCCTGAAAACAAAACACATCAATTCTAACCTCTAAATCCCACATCTACTACTAATTATATCATCAAATCAGATATTTAAATATATATATATATATATTCGCATTTACCTGTTGGGCGAGGGTAGACTTCAGGGTCAAGAGCTCCTCCTCCGGAGGAGGAATGATAACTCAGAAAGAGAGCATGGGGGGTTATGGAACTGCCGTCTCTGGGCTCCAAAACAATGCTATGGGCCTTAAGCCCATAAACTCTAAACAACGATGATATCAAACCTAACTTACTGGACCACGGGCCCACTGCCAACACTACAGCGTCCGCTTCCAACTCTCGTCCTCCTTCCAGCACAACTGATCCAACACGTCCTTCTTCCACCTCCACCCGTTCCAATTTCGCAATCTCCACCTTCACCCCATACATCTCCACGGCTCTATCGATGACCGTGCGGGTGAAAAGCTGCGGGTGCACCTGCGCCGTCGTTTCGGGGTTTCCAATCGTTTTGGGACTACGAGCTGGCCCGTCGATCCAAGAGGGCAGGAACCTCGAAGCAGAAGCGCGCTCGGATTCCTTTACGGTGAGGCTCAGAGTAGTTAGGGCTCTGTAACCGTAAGATCGAGGACCGTCAAGTTTTTCCGAGAGTGAACGGTGGAGATTGAAGCTCACGTGGGCTAGCTCCTCCAACGGTCCTCCGTCGCACCAGTCGTAGGCGAGGAATCCGCCGGCTTTTCCAGAAGCGGCGCATGCCACGTCGGACATCTCGATGAGCGTGACGGCGGCTCCCTTCTCAGCTAGAAAGTAAGCAGTGCAAACACCTATGACTCCGCCGCCGCAGACAATGACCTTCTTGGGCTGATCCATGAGCGACGATGACTCGATGGACTTAGCTCTCGGAACGGGAATTCTGTTTTGCCGATTTATAATCACCGGAGGCAGCGGAAACCTTGCCAGTAGATTCATACTGAGATTTTCTTTTTCTTTCTTTCAATTAAACACGTGTGCGTCTTACGTGTCAGTATCTTGCTGTTTAATAAATATTTGGGCCTCCTACTAAAAACAAGAGGTTTCTCCTTACACCTCCGCCACCTCCTCTCCATTTTGTTTTTTTACATTTTTACCTTTTGCAAAATCCTAATCTCTCTTCTTCTTTAATCTTCTTCTTCTGTGCCGCACTTAGGGATGGCAAAGATCGGATCGGACACGGATAGTGTCTACCCATAATCTGACTCGACAAAAAAAATCCATCTGTTACCCAATTCGCTACCCGCACGGATATCCGTTTAAAAAATATCCGCGGATATTTTAAAATTCGCAGATACCCGCAAATATTTTAAAAAATATATATTTTAATAAATTAAATAGAATTACAAAAAATATATAAAATATAATATAAATTAAATTAAATTTAAATTTAAATTCAATTTTAATTAAATTTAATCTTGTAAAATATAAATTAATGTTAATTTTAATTAAATTTAACTTAATAAAATATAAATTATATTTTTATTTTTATTTTTTGCGGGTAGCGGGTATCCGCGGGTATGGATAGTATAATACCTGCACCCGACCCGTTTATAAGCGGGTATTAAAATATCCGCTACCCGCGGCTTGCGGATAGTAAATATCCGCGGGTATCAACTATCCGTCGCGGATTTTATCTACGGATATTCGTAGGCGCGAATTTTTTTGCCATCCCTAACCGCACTCCTTTCATAATGGTATTAAGCGGGTAAACCAATTATCATCGATCCCTTCAGAGTAGTTGGAAAAACTCTGCACATGATTGCATCATCAATTGTATATAACATAGACATCAATGTGCCCATTCGTGTCCGTGCTGCCATCATATTGATCTACAGTCAAATATTTGTAGTTATTTGGGAGGGGAACCTCCATGATACCATACACAAACCTTATGATACCAACTTCCTCCCATCTATATAGAGTGTGAACCCCAAAAATATATTCCAAAATATAAATCTCAATTCACTCTATCATTAATCAATTCACCATAACGATTAATTATTATTTATACTTTAAGAAAATTCCTTTAATCATTTCCTAGTTATGAGATGCTCTAAAGTTAAGCTTAATTTCACAAAACCCTATCTTCATCAAAGCGCAAGCATGCATGTAAAAGATATATACAAAAGATGAAAATGAAAAAGAGGAGAAGAAATTACTCAAAATGATCCTCACAAAAATATATTCCATGTTTTCCTCACTATAATTCAAACTCAATTCACCAAGCAAAGGAGAGGGTGTGACTTTTGGTTTTAGAAGGGTATAAGGTAGGAAGTTTCAAAAGAAGAAAAAAAAAATCAAGAAAGAGTCTCGTCAGATTTTGGTAAAACAAAGGAAATTCTCAATTCCTATTTGTAACCCTAATGTTTAATAACTTCACTCCCTTCATTCTATATATTTTCTATTCTAAATTAAAACTAATGTAATTTTAATTTCTATTTGCACCATTCATATAAATCACACACCAGCTAAAACAAATAATTAATTAAGTTAAAAAGTAAACATAAGTTAAATCCACTTATCACTTTTAAATCATTACATCAATTTATTTTCACATAAAAAGAAAATATCAATATAAAATCAATTTAGTTGCTTCAATGTTTTAATATAGTCAAATTTAAATTGAATCAATAAACAAATTTTGATTTAGGTATTAATTATGATTTGAAATCAGATGCCACATTCTTAGAAACAATCACACCAACATTTATTTTCCGCCCTGGATATGACCTCCGACTCAAACTAATACTATACTTTCGTTTTGAATAAAAACATACTATTTAAACTGATCAATAAACTGAAATTCAGTCTTTTGTTTTCAAATCAAATTAAATTAATTATGATTAACGAACTCATTTTTATTCATATTGTTATGATATATTTTTTAAACAATAAAATTATGTTGATGGACTTGTTTGTTTTGCCAAATTAGCCCATTAAATCAAAAGGAAGAAGTGTTAAGTGATTCTAATGTATTGCGAGTCATGGAGTTAGTTTGTAAGAAAAAAAAAAGTGTAAGATGAATAGAGTTTTTTAGTTTACTGACTTGATAATTCGTTTAGGTATATAAGTTTTGTGAGTCAACAATGAAATGAGGTAAATTAATTCGTATTTGTATATTTATTTCAAAATATATCCATAATTTCTTGTGTTTACTAATAAGAATATTGTGTGAATTTATTATTAATTAAATTTACTTTTGGAAGAATGTTTCATGGCAATTTTAGTACTTGAAATTTAGTATTTCTTTTTATTTTAATATTATTACGAAAATTTTAAGATATTTAAAAATTATAAAATTATGAATATTATTTATTTTAATAAATAATGTTATAAAATTTATTAATTTAATTAAATAAAAATAATGTACTTTGATATTTATATATCATGACTGAGAAAAATAATAAAAAAATAATAATAATTCCTTATACGAACCGTTCTATAGACCTAGGGACTGAATATAGGATATACCAGAAAAGTTATTTTACATTTTTTAATTTGGAACAAATTGACTTGTCCGCTTTCTACAAACGAAGTGAACAAATAGGGAAGAATTGACCGCATTGTTTAAATAACCCATATTTATATTTTTAATAATACACATAATTAAAATATTTATTGGTGACGGTCCTCGTTTAAGAAGACCAATTCAGACCACTCAAACGAAGACACGTGTTTTATGCATCTATGGAGCAATTTTGTTTGCTCTTCTCTACGTCTGAAATAAAAGACAAATAAAAGTTTGTTTCCACGTACATGTCACAAATAATCCCGTTTATAACGTTGTCGTGATAAATTTGGCCAATATATACCGTACTACATACTTTATGAGAATTAAATAATTAATTTATAAAGTAAAATTGTTAATATAATTAGTAGTATTTTGGTTTGTGGGTCCAAATCAATTATTTTGATTGATATATTTTTCTAATTTTAAACACAATAAAATTTTTCTTTTACTTTATATTTACTATTTTTTATTTACTATTTTTTGTCAAGTCACATAGTTACCTGTAAAAAATACTATAATGTCAAAAGTCCGTGAATTCAACAATACTAATAATAAATATATAATAAATAAATAATAAATATAATCAACCTACCACAATATCTCAAATATAAATTTATAGGTTTCAAAATAAATTTTAAATTAACACTAACCTAATTTTGATTTAAATGATAATAATTATATTTAAGTTTAATGTAATTATTTTTAACATTAATCTTAATTAATTCAATCAGCTAGTTATCCAATCAATTCTTTTGGAGTTTCAATTAAGAAAACATTCGATATTAAATTGATCAAACGATCATAATAATATAAAAGTAACATTGACTTCACCCAACGTTTATATATATTTTGAAATTTATTCTTATGAACAAAATATATTTTTTAAGTATCTTTATTCAATTATAAGAAATGCTATTAGTTTTAATTATTTTATCTATCATAATTTAGCGTGTTAATTTTGTTGATTATGCTTGAATAATTAATTATTTAAAAAAAATATTCTTTTTATAAGAATATCAAAGTCTAGAACATTAATTGAATCCGTGTACCATTTATAGAGCTAAAGAATAACTTCCTAATTATAAATATTTTGGTGGGCAGGTATGGCTGTTGTTAATTTGATTGAGTATTTTACTCAATTAGGAGCAATGAAAGAGACACATGTTATGTCATTATCTAAAGTGAAATTATGTTAATTAGTTGGGCAGATTTCAACTTATGATTAGACTTAATAATAAAAAAAGAATAAAACCAACGATCTTATCTTCAAATTTGGACCAATAGTAATCCGTTGAGCAAAGCCAGAAATAATAAAATAAAAACAAACAAAAGGAGGAAAAGAAGAAACTCAACCGTTAGCGGTCGTTGTCATGAATAATAATATGAGGACGACATAAATAATTTATGACAGAAACTGATAACAATTCTTAAACGCTTACTAAAGACGTCAAAATAACAAAATTAAATTTGTTTTCATCTTTACAGTTTTATAAATACACAACTTAAGGCTTTATAAAAAATTTAACCACAAATTTAATCTTCCAGTTTATTAAAATGTTTTGTAAGAAAAAAATTTATAAATAATTAAAATTTAAGACAAATAAATCAATAACCATTCTTTTAATTTAGCATTTTAACTCTATTTTGACACACAAAACATAAAAATCAATTAGATTGCAATTTAAAGTTTGAAGCGCGTGTTTACAAAACGTTAAAAGTTTAATCGTAATAAAATTAAACTTGGTGTTTATTTAAAAACCATTGGAACAAAAAATAAAGTTTAGCTTAATATAGAACTAAGTTAAATGAATATTTATTGGTGCTTAATTTTTGTAGGCTAAATTACAATCTTGATTTTGATTTGTAAATTTTGTTCTCCTGTTTTCATTTTTCCACTATATATGTTCAATTATCAAAATTTTATAATTTTTGTTTAATTTTATTTTGATTCAATCGAACCCTAAACCTAATACAGTCATATAACGTACCATTACAAAAATACTTTAGCTAATTAAAATATAAAAGTGTACAAAGAAAATAAGGATTAAACATAATATTACATATGTTTTTAATTTGAAGACTAAACGAAAGAGTAAGAATGAAGAAAAAATTTGTTGAATTTTAAAATTAAGAAGGATTTAAATTACAATTTAAACCTTCTTATATGTAACCTTACAAGGAATGTATTAAGGTTATGAACAATATTAAGGATGTTTTTAGTGTATATAATGTATTTTGATAATATTTTACACACACCAATTAACATTCAAATACGTTAAATTGAAATTGAAATGGAGCTTTTAAAGAAAAAAAAAGACCACTGTAAGTATAGACACCAATGTGTATACTTGACAAATTGTGCAGCAAATAATGCAAGTAACTATGAAGAAAGAAATGCAACAATAAGTTTAATTTGAGTTAATGTGTAATTCAACGGACACATATAAACTCTTATTTTCTTATCTCATATTAGGCTCTTCATTATTACAACTTCTATGTCATTGTGTTTTTCAAGTCTGGAAACA